CGATTTTTGTGATTTGGACGATCATCTAGTAGACGAAGCTCCGAATAGCCTTCTTTCGAGATCGACCCGAGTCGGGTAGCTCGGTTACCACATGCCCATCATTTTTATGCTAAACAAATATGCAAAAGGGGCACAACTTTATGGTATAGTGGCATCCAAAATCATGGGAAAGAACTGAAAGTTGAATCTGATCAATTGGTGATGACATATTAGCCGCCCTTGGTGGGGAAACCACTTTACAATTACCTACTAAGTGCATTTTAGACCAACAGTGAACAGACACACTCATAGATATTGTCATTATGAAAAACAAAATAAATTTAGAATACTATTATTGGTATCTTTTTGAACCAACTATTTTTGGCATCTTTTTAGTACATGATTGGACCATGGGCACCAATAATTTATTAAACTATTCTGGGTAATCATATTAAACTATAACTAGTGTGGTACCTGTGCGATGCACGAACTAATTTTATTAAGATAAATATTTAGATTTGAATGGTTAGATGATTGGAAAAATGTAACATGCATATGTTGGAATAAATAAAATGTAATTTATATATTATTGTATACAACATTATTTGTTTGGTCTTTTAGTACATATTTATCACTACAAATTATATTACGATTCAAGATAAATTTAAATAAATAAATAAATTATTTAATAGGATATATATAATATTTTGTAAGTGTGTGCAATTATTATTTAAAAAGTGTGTTGGGTACCTAACAATAGTTGCTTGTTTTTTGTTTAGTGGAAATGTGACCAACCACTTACTTTTTTTTTTTTTTTTTAAATCAAAATTAAAATATTTCACCATCCTTTGACTATTGCCCACGATAACACAGACAACAACAACACACACTAAATACAACTATACCCACGCATTTATTGAAATGGTACTGTTAAAATTGACAAAATTACAATTTTAATCTTGTTTGTTTGAAAAGTGACATTTTTAGTTTTAAGAATTGAACATTTTTGCTATTTGGTCATATGATTTTAATATTTAATGCAATTTCAGACATTTGAATCGGAAATTACAACAATATTTTAAATTACAGGACTTAAATTGTTAATAAAAGATCTTTTGGATGAATTTTTTATTAGCAATTTAAATTCTGTGTTTTTAAATTTTGTTGCAATTTCAGTCTCCAACAACTGAAATTACAGCAAAATACTAAATTACAAGATTAAAAGACAAAAATATATAATCTTAAAACTATAATTATAACAACGATGAATAAATAAGACTAAAAATATAATTTTGCCGCTAAAATCCGTATGCAAACTGTTCTAAACTTCTATTGGTAGTAAAATGTCCCCTTATTTTGTTAAACAATTAACAATTCCCATTTAGAAAGAATATATTCTTTTGGAAAAATGTGTTGGGCTGACAATTATACAAAAATTCTACCGAGCCATTGAATGATTTACTCATAGAGCAATTCATCACTTAATTATATTTATTATAAGACACGTGTCAATACACTAAAGGTAAATAAGTGTGGATGACTCTATAAATCGAGTCATCCGATGATTCCATAGCAAAACTTCACAATCATATTCGATTCCACGTGCTTGCTTGTTATTTCCTCTCGCCAATCTTCACTGAGCCCCGCATGGTGGATGTATTTGTTGAGCTGCTGCCCTTTGATTTAGTTGAAGTTCCGAGCTTGAACTGGGCTCTTTCTCCTTTCGAATTTCAAGGTTTCTATTTTTATTTGCTTTTTATTAATATGGATTCCATTAATTGGGTTTATTCAGGAATGTTTCTGAATACGAGTAAATCGGTGCTTCGATGCTGGCAAGAGCTCTGTTTAGCAAATTCTTGGATTTTTCTTGTTTCCTTAAATTTTCAGAACTATAAACTATGGTTTTCGGCAAGATCATTTTTTCTTAATTCATTAGCAGTATCCCATGTGTGTGTGTGTGTGTGTGTTTGTGTGTGTGTGTGTGTGTGTTTGTGTGGTTATATGTGTTATTGTGTCTGAATGTTATCTGTTTGTCAGCAGGTACCTATTAATATTATTATGTGTTCATTACTCTTGCTCTTCTTGTTTTTTGATGCCCAAGTTGAAACAAGTGATGGTCTTCATCAGGATATTTGGTTTTCTATTTATTTTTATGATAATTTGTTATATTTTTCTGTTTTTGGGGTTCGGATAAGAATACTATACTTCATGATCAATAGATGCTGACTCTGATCTGTAATAATAGGAATGATTATCAGTGTTACCCGGACTCTTCTATTTAGGAAGAATACCTGTGTCATGTTGTGTCGACACTGGTGTGGGTATGAGTGTCGGGTGTGGCATTTTAGCCTAAAATGTTCAAGATTTCTAAACTATTGACGAGTCGGACGCTCATATCTCCACACCCGATACGCCACCCATATACGAGTCCAGGTAGCATAGATGATTATGTGCAAGAAAAAGTCAAGGATCCAATGCTCTATAAGATTTTCAAAATTAGATTTTGGGTCTCTTAGATTGATTTATCCCATGTTAGATATTTGAATCTAATTATGATTTATGTCTTATGCATTGCTTTTGTATTGACACCTCAAAATTCATGAAGCCAAACCATTCTTTTCTTGTGATATTGTTACTGTCAGACACTAACATGAATCTGTTTGTTTCGTTTTGGCCTTCTACTGACGTGATTAATAAAGATAAAACCAGTGCTTTAGTATAATTGTTTTTAAACAACAAATTAAATTCTTCCAGTTCGTCATTCTTTGTATGGGATGTGAGCTAAAGTCATATTCTTGGGCTAAATCAAATGAGCCAGCACCTATACGACGAAAGCCATGCTTGATTTTGCTGAGAATCGCTTTCTTTTTTTCTTTCTTTGTTAAAGATTTTATGCTGCTTTCTCCTGATTGAGTTTTATGGTTTGTTTTAACTGTGAACTAAGCTGATAGAAATTGTATTAAACTGATTTCTGATACTATTGTTCGTTTTCCACTTTCTGTGGTGCAATTCGTGTTCAATTTTCTTGATTTATTCTTGTGAATCTGAACTTTGTCTTCTGTCTACTTCTTGATTGTTAAGGTTAGGGAGCTGAATCACTTAGAATGAATTCGACATCAACACAATTTGTGCCTGCAAGGCGGATGGGCATATACGAGCCTATTCATCAAATGGGGATGTGGAGTGATTTCAAAGGCAAAACTTATCTGGATGAATCTTCTGTACAGTTGATTCTTGATATTGATGCTAAACACGACAACCAGGTGATAAAAACTAATTGCCTCTATTTGGTTTTCTTTCAAAACCTATAGATTCATATTAGACCTATTAGTTGACTCGTTTTTGCATGTTTTCTAGTCGGAGGATACTTCACATGGAACAGTTGGACCTTTCAATAAATACGACCAAGAAGCAAGTAAGCCTGATAAGGTAAATTCTCTAATATAAAACTATTCTCGCTTTTCCTCTCTCTCTCTCTCTCTCTGTGATTTGGTAAGAAAACATTTGTTCATGGTTGATTTCTCTTCTTCATTGTGTCTTTGAGAGATAAATTGTAGTGGATTACAATGTGTCAACTTATATAAATTTGACATGTCACAGATCACATCTTCATCTAAATTTCCATTTTAAAGAGTTTTGGTAGTTTAATAGAATGAGTTCATTTTTTTCTCAATTTTTTTTTATTTTTTATTTATTATTTTTTTTTTTTGACGAGAATCTGACTTTATTGGTTGTAGGTTCTGAGACGCTTGGCACAGAACCGTGAGGCGGCTCGCAAAAGTCGTCTGCGGAAGAAGGTATAAACTATAAAGATGTCATCGATGGATTGTTATTTCTGATACTATGTCATTTAGGCCTAAAATTTATTTGCATTACCTTAAATATGTGGTGCAGGCCTATGTTCAGCAGTTAGAAAATAGTAAATTGAGACTTTTTCAGTTAGAGCAAGAGCTTCAACAAGCCAAGAAACAGGTGAAATAAGTATTTGTATTATATTGAGGTCCCCCCCTTTTTTTATTTTAGTTTTAGTTGAAATTTAGCTCATGATAATTGAGCGGAACATTTCATTTCTCTAAAGCTGTGCTTTGTGCTGCAGGGTTTGTACATTGGTGGCACTTTAGATGCTACTGAGCTAGGATGTGTAGGAACTACAAATCCAGGTTTGTCGGGTCATATGCCACCAAATGCCCATGATTCAGAGAAACTATTTATTCTAATATTGCAATTTTTTTACTGTGCTTTTTCACAAATTACCGTCAGCTGTACTACATTTGGTGATGAAATTATCAAGTTCAGGTGCTCAATGACTTGTTTATTTGTTTATTGCTAATAGCATTTTAATGGATCTATCCTGCGTAGGTTTTCTCTCATTATATGAAGCTTCATTTTCCTTTGCTATTTCACAGCTATTGCTACATTCGAAGTGGAGTACGGGCAATGGGTTGAAGAACTAAATAGACAAATATCCGGCTTAGGGAAAGCTCTTCAATCAAACGTTGGGGATTTGGAACTCCGGTCGCTCGTTGATGGTGGAATGAAGCATTATTTTGATCTTTTTGTGATGAAATCTACAGCTGCAAAGGCTGACGTGTTTTATGTTATGTCGGGCTTGTGGAAAACGCCGACCGAACGGTTTTTCTTATGGGTCGGAGGCTTTCGGCCTTCTGAAATTCTAAGGGTAATCCAAGTTTAATTAGCATGTCTAATTAATTATTAACATTTCTGATAAAATCTAACTAT